ATCACTTATTATCAATATTTATTGATAATTATCATGAGGAGTCCTTAACTAGGATGTAGTTGGGCAATTAAATATTCATGTATGTGTAAATTTATTACCATAATTGCAGGTGAGTCATGTAAATTTATGTTTTTATAAAACAAGTAGCCCCCCACCCCAAGACCAATTTCCTAGGGAAAACACTGAAGTGCCTCTGTTTTTATATGGCAAGCTCTAAAAACAACGTTTATATCACAGGAGCGGTATGGCAGAAAATTTTAGTGGTTTTGAAATGGTGACTGTTTCATACTGGGATACAGTAAATCATCAAACCGTTATCCAGCTGTTATCCTAATGGAGACGAGTTCATATGTCTAAAATCCATGTAGTGGGTTACTAAATATTTAGCACATAGTATGACTATTTGGCTGGGGGGGGCTAATGGGGGTCAGCAGGTTCATAGGGATGGCCATTGCCCCCTTTGTCTCCTCCTTGTTGGTGCCTCTGTCGGTAGAACAGAACGTCATTAATCCTCTCAGCATTAGAAACATTCAATCATCTCAGGTCTTCTGCATGGTAAGTGGAAACTTCACCATGGTGACCATTTTTTACCAACACATCCATAGACCTAAATCTACCGTTCTTACAAATCAGAGCCTTTCTGAGCAGCGTTAAAAATAATTAAAAAAGGTTTTTAGCTTCTATGGATGGAACTACATCCCAAATCCCACCAAAACCCATTGAGTAGAGAAAAAACCAAATAACAGTTTTTTACGGTTTTTCATTGCTTGGTTTGATGCCTGCAGCAAGGAGCAGCAGCGGTCTGCAAAGGCCATGTCCGTGTGGGAGCAGAGGACCAACCAGCTGAGGAAACACAACATGAAGACCAGCACCGAGGCCCTGTTTAACGAGCTGGACTCCGAGGAGCGCCTCCGGATGTCCACCTCCCTCCACCTACACCCCGACATGACAACCCACACGGACCGGCCGCTTGTGGTGGAAACCAGCGACGGCGACAAAACCAGCTCAGGAGGTCCGGAGGAGCCGGCGGGGCCCCGATACGACGGGCTGGGTGACGGCTTCCATGTCCACTCCAGGAGGCATCATCGCCACCGTGACAAGAGCGGCGAGGGAGGCGACGGTCGAGGAGGGAAGCACCACGCTCATCACCGGAGAGAGCACAACCCAGACGGTGAGAACCGCCGGCACCACCAAGCCGGATCCCCCGAGAGGGACGACAGTGATGTACGAGGAGGAGCAGAGGAAAGAGGGCACCGCCACCATCGCTCTCATCGAACTCCAAGAGAYGGAAATGGACGTTTGGTCAACGGAGCTCAAGAGGAGGGCAGAGGGAGAGGAGAGAACAACGCAGAGAGGCAGATCAGATACTCTCGCTTGGCCAAAGCTCAGTCAACTTTGACGGGAGACGACTGTAGGAGGAACAATGGATCGAGGAGCTGCCGGTACGGCTCAAAACCTCAACCTCTCCTGTCCAAAGAGCTCTCTGATCCCACCTGCAGCAGTCCTGAAACAAAGTTCTTTTATTCCCTCAGGGAGAGGCAGGCAGAAACCGAGGAGGACAGCCTCGCCGGCAGTCCGTTACAGCTGAAGAGGAGCAGTTTGACCCCCAGCGAAAAACAGGAAGACGCCGACAACCAGAAGAACTCCACCAGAGCCAGCCAGGCCGGACTCAACAGCAACACTATCCACATCCCCGTTACCATCACCGGCCCACCTGGAGACACCACCTTCATACCCAGTTAGTACAAAACACTCACCAAGTTTAGTCCAAGTCCTTTCATACCCATGAAAAACTGATGATGCAGCAAAAAGAACGTTAAACAACTAACCTTCTTGAAAGACTGTAAAGTTTTAGTGCCTAATGGAATAGTAGATGATAATAGAGTAGCAGTAATTGGCTCCTTAAAGCAATAGTTTACATTTTGTATTCAAGCCATATTCCTCTTAATGCCTCTTTAAATGGGTGCCATTTATCTTTTTGTGTTTTATTCCAGTGAACAACATTGATTGTGACAACTTCCAGCTCAGTGAGGAGAAGAAAGATCTGGAAGAGGAGGAGGAGGAGGCGACTAACGGGCCTCGGCAGATACTCCCCTACAGCTCCATGTTCATCTTTGGACAGACGAACCCGTAAGCTCCAGCTGGAGGAACGCTAAAATACATAACTAAAGCAAACTTCTCATTTTTGTTCTGACAAAGCTCTGAACACCATGTTCTTTAAAGCCCGAGAACCTAAAATCTCCTACAAGATATGAAACTGTACACAGTTCTTTAAAATGTCTATGAAAATCATTTATAGTTGAGTCTGGTTCAGTCTGAGATGTGGTTAAAGCTGAGGACCTAAAAGCTCCTTTGTGTTGTTAATATTGTGATGGTTTTATTAGAACCTCAGCTGGACCACAATGGTATGTTTTAGGGCCCAAACATGAGGGTTTTTTATTACAAGAAAGAAGTGAAAATATCACAGGAATAAAGTCATAATGTTATAAGAATCAAATCCTAAAATTGCCAGAATCAAGTCCAAAGAATACTAGAATAAAATCATAATAAAACAAAGTTAAYGTCACAATAATACAAGGATAAAGTCGTAATAATACTAGAATAAAGTCAAATAAKAACTATTATTTCACAATATTTTACTTTAGAGTGTTGTCAGTGTTTGGGCAGAAGTAGTAATACATGAATAAAGTCATAATAATACAGGAGTAATATCATAATTTTCCATAATAAAATCATAAAATAAAAAGACAGAAGTTGTAGTATTACTCAGAGTTCCACTCCCTCTGAAGCTAAAATCTTGATGATCATTTCCTGAGAAACAACAAAACTTCTGTGAAAGTTTCACAAGTTTTTTCACATAATTAAAAAATATAAAATCTTATAGTCTGACCCTAACTCTGAGCCGTACGATGGAGTTTCTTGCAGTCTATAAAGTTTTTTATTCACCTGTACAGACTCTGTCACCTGAGTGTACCTGGTGAGTGGTCACTGCTCCTTCATGTGTGTGTGTGTGTGTCCTGCAGCGTGCGACGCCTGTGCCACTACGTGGTCAACCTGCGCTACTTTGAGATGTGCATCCTGTTGGTCATCACCATGAGCAGCATCACGCTGGCAGCCGAGGACCCCGTGCAGACCAACGCGCCACGCAACAATGTGAGTGGAGCTGACGGCCGGACTTCATATATAAATATCTGAGGGGAGCGCAGCAAACACACACAGACGTGGATTTGCATGATAATGTGTATGCTCACTGCTCACATGAGCAAAGTGGGATTTACACACAGCTATGTCTCATCCGGCCTGATTCAGAGAGGAAAACGTTCACTCGTGTTGACAAAAACATGAAGGGAAGCATAAAAATGTATCTTTTTGGTGAGGTTGTTTATTCTTAAAWCCCTTGATTTAAACTGCTTTAATCCTGTTTTTATTTTCTCATAAGGACAATAAGATTAGAGATGACATACAGACGTGTTTTTACATTTTGCTGCCCATTAGCATTTGAGTCAGAGCCTGGGAGGCAAATGGAGGCGATGCTTCAGCGTGTGTTAGAGTCAGTGTTTGTGCAGAAGAGTCCAGAACCATCAGTCACACCTGGAACAGGTGCAGCTGCCGCTCTGTCAGCTTTTATCTTTCTGTTGTGTTTGCAGGTGTTGAAATATCTGGATTACATTTTTACAGGAGTCTTCACTTTTGAGATGGTGATTAAGGTGAGAACACTTGCATGACCCCACACAGACAGCAGAGTCAAAGTCCCTTCTTTTCTTACCAGATCTAAGTTTTATAAATCAGAATTATTCATATAGTCATTTTCACTGAACCACATGAGCATCGTGACTGTAATTACCTTCATCTAAACACAAAGCGTTRCRTTCCAGAGCACTGCTAACAAACAATAACTGAGCTGTACCTGGTATTTCCTRTAAAGAAACATTTTAACGTTTGCTTAAAAACAGTGAAATGTACTACGGTTACGACTGACTGAATGTGAAATAAATAATACAGAAATAAAAATAAGGTTTTACTCAGTGTTGAGTTGTRGTGAGTAGCTGCCATCTAGAATTCCCACTAGAGGGACTTCCAGATTAGGTTTACCACTAGTATGTGGGATATTCCCACTTCACAGTACAACTGCAGCAAAAATAGCTGGTGAAAATGCAGCAAAATGRAGATTTTACATGAAAAATGTTGCTGGATGCCAGCTTATTTAAACCCTGTGTAGCGCCACCTTGTGTCGGGAGGCTGTTAAATGATCAATTTGCATTATGAGAGGTTTACTTTATCGTCAATTCTGGCTTTAAAGTGCCTGTGACACGTATTAACTTCAAATACAAAAAGGCTATAAAAAAGCTATTATTAAGAAACTTGGCCTAAACACGACTTTACCCATTTCCGTCACATAATTGTCCTATTTTCTTTTGAATTWGTTTTACCCAAAGTGAAACAGGAAGWGACATCAAAGGGGAACTCTTGAAGAAATGTTTTTGTATTGAAACAATATTATCTGAACTCTGACTCTTCTTCATTTCTCTAATAGAGACTCAAAATAATCTAAAGAAACAYCAGATTCTTCTCTACACTCTGTTGTTGTAGCAAAGTTCACATGCAGAGATTCCCCTTTGACATCACTTCCTGTTATGGCACATGCAAATATCTCAACAAATGTTCATCTCAGCGACGTGAAACTTTTTTTGCAATATGTTATTAATACTATCTTTCTTAAAATGCATTCATATTTATTACAAAAAAATTGATGTCACAGGTACTTTAAAGCAGCTTATTTTAAGACAATAATTCATCTTTGAGGCTTTCGCGGGCCACGTAAAATGTGGTGGTGGTCTGCAGGCCTTGAGTTTGACATGAACTGTTTGTTTTTAAGTTGTAAAGCACTTTGGTGGACTTTGGTGTAGAAATGAACCTAAACCAACTCTGGACCTCCTGTACCTCTGGTTGACTCCAGATGATTGACCTGGGGCTGCTCCTCCACCCCGGCTCTTATTTCCGTGACCTGTGGAACATTCTGGACTTCATCGTGGTCAGCGGGGCTCTGGTGGCGTTCGCCTGCTCGTAAGTCCCCATTTTTTTCCAACACATTCTTTCTTTGCAGCTCATTAGTTTCTGATTGTTTTACCCAGAGCATGAAGCTCACTGACACCCTTCTGTTTGTTATTCTCTGTCAAACGGCTCGAACGGTCACTTCCTCTTGTTGTTTTCAATCTTTTAAGGCTTTGGTGTCGGTGCTATAATTACAGCAGACTCCCTTTGGTTTTTGAGGGCCCTTATTTCTAATTAATTAAAAGGCTTATTGGTTTAAACATAATGAAGAGGAAGCTGGAGGACTTTGTTTTACTCTTCATTATGTTGTGGACATTTGACCATAATAAAGGACTCAAAGATTGGCAGCTAAATAATCATTTAAACAGTCTCACAATCTGGATTTCTCTGCCTAATATTAGAAGTAACATTACTTAAGTCTGAAATTTGATGGTTAACTTGAGACTTTAACCATATTTAGGGTTGAWAATTATTTGTTAAATAAACACTTGTGTTCCTCGTCAGCTGTGCAGAAACTTTACTTTATGTGACTCTGACTCGTGTCTTCTCTCTTCCTGCTTCTCTTTGTTTTTTATCTGTTGCCGAGTCTTTTCCTTCACTTCTCTCCCTCCTTTCGTTTGTTTTTCTTTCCTGTTTTTCCTTCGGCTTCGCTTGTTTTCAGGAGCCTTATGGGGTAACGTGTGCTTCTTTTTTCTGTTTGTGTGTTTGTGTCCTGCTTTGCTTCGTCTTCGTCAGACAGTTGACAAAATGTTTTGAGCAAATGTCACATTTTGTCGCTCCGCAGTTCTTATCATCACAGGCAGAGTCGTGATTGAAGAAACTGACATTTACTCTGTTTTTGTTATATAACGGTGACTTCAGGTTACGTAAGTCAAATTACCTGCTTTGCAATTATCAGATGTATTTATTTTTCATTTTTACACAGACCGTAACAAGTTTAACAGCTTAMTAATTAAACAAAAACACTGCCAGGAATGAGTTTTTTTTTTWTATTTAAGATGTAAACAACTGAATGGAGACATTTAAAAAATAAACAGAGTGAATGGCAGCTCTTTTATGTTCAACAAGATAATAATAATAAACACAAAACATCATCATCACTTCAGGAATTGTTGCATCCAAGCATGCTGTTTTGTCTGGTCTGCACAGATTTGTACCTTTTGTCAAACCGTACCTTTGCAGTTTTGGTCGATTTGTATTTTTTGGGTACAGAAATAATTGTTTTTTTACTGCTGTTCGCAGCATGTAGAGAGAAATGTGTTTCAGTTAGCAAGAAATGTTTATTAAGGAGCACAAATTAAACTCCTTTAAAGGGTACTCCATTTATTTCTACTGTAAAAATACTGTAGGTTGTTTAGTTTTTATAAATTAAAGAAAAAATGATGTCACATGGATGTCGCCATGTTATTTACACCACAAAGCATTCTGGGTAAATGATGATAAATACTAGGTGCTCCGCTGCGAACTCTGTCCAGCTTGAAAGTTAATYTTGGACAATATCTGATGATCGACTCTTTTAAAKGAAACCAGAGAGCGTTGACAGAGAGGAGAAGGTAGAAATGACTCAGCCTGGAACTGAAAATATGGATGGAGGACAACAGAGCTGCTTCATGGAAGAAGAACCTCAGTTTAGCCTGTTAGCTTGCGTTAGCTTGTCAGCTAATATTAGTATTTAGTTGTTTTGGAGGGCACTGTAGATGTTTTCATGTGTCAGAATAGATAAATATTAACATGTGGCTGAAGTCAGAGAGCCCTTTAAGGTTTATGTAACTAAAGCTTTTCTTTTTTTTCAATCTCATTCACTTCCTGTTCAGCATTTTGTCCTTCCCGTCACCTGACTCGTTACATTCATAACTGTTTAACTTCACAATGTAAAACTTAAAGGACAATCATTGGATAAAGTCAGGATCCTGTGTTGTCTATATTTTGTGTTGTTTGTTGTGATAAACAATGAAAAGTCAATGAAGTTACGTTGTTTTCCATCCAGCTGAAGGCGTCTGTGTTGTAAGTGTGAAACGTTGATGTCATCATGCCTGAGTGATTTCTGCTTCCAGTGTTTATTTTATTGTTTTTTTTTTCAATGCCAGTGTTTATTTTTGTTGTTGTTGTTGTTTTTCTGTATCGTCTGCTTGCTTATCGTTTCTTTTCTTCATCAGATCGCAACAAAGCGTGGCCAGGTGGGAACTGTCCCTCTCTACCTTTTTACTTATTGACCCATCCCCCTTTTTCCCGACATTTGAACACACAAACCATCCTAATAAAGCTTTTCAGCCCCAGGGACTWGACCATTATGCCCTTCCCTCCTGTCCTCTTGAGCCAATATTGGACAACRAATCTGAAAAGACAATATTGGGAACTCCATCTAATAGCTTTCAGAAGGCTGGCGTAAAGATTTAGTCAGTTTAAATGATTAAATCAGGTTAAATTTGTGTTGTGATTTGATTTATCCCCTTTTCTTCTCCTATCTGTGTCTCATCTTCTTCGTTAAGCAGTTAGAAGAAAGTCATTAAAGGATTACAGTTTCTGTTTTAAATCCACCTAAACTGGCTCCAGTTAAAAGGAAAACATTTTCCTCTCACAACATAATGTGAAATAATCACATAATCCTAAAAGGAGACCTCAGATCTTTTGAAGTGGAAAGATTACGAACAATTAATACCTTACCTGTTTCAGATAGCTTTCTGACGAGCCTCAGTTTGAGCAGGTTTGTCAGAATTGAACTCCATTAGAACCCACTTCAAAACATCTCACTCATAAAGATTGCCTCTAATTGATGGTTGTTTGTCCTCCTGAAAGCTCTTCTGAAAGCCATTTGGAGACCTGAGTGTGGTGGGGGTCCTTGAACAGCAGGACTGGGTCGGACTCTGCAGACTGCATGAGTGCTGCATGCTGTGTAGTTAGGATTTTTTCACTGGTAAAGAAAAWGCCTCAAGCCAAGATATTAGGAACCACAGTTCTTTACGTTTCAGTGTTTTCTACTCTCCAACTGTACATATAAATCTACTTTTAATGGTTTTGTTTTTAAATTGCTCCGTACTTCCTTCCTCTGGCGGTTTTTRATATTGTTTGCAGGGATTATGAGGTGTCAACCAATCAGGTGTCTTTAACAGCAGCCTGCGTAAATAAAATAAAAATGTGTCATAAAGAAGGTGACTGGAACAATATGTGTTTAAATCCAGCTAATTAGTTATTTGTTCATCTTCAAACTAATATTGGATCTTATTTAGCTAAAATATTAGCAACCAAGTCATGTTCTATTTGTAGCAATAAACAAGTAAAAAGATCTGTTCTATTTCTTATAGGCTCCACCCTTTAAGGCTATCGCTAGTGGGTTTATCCCCGCGCGGGGATAAACCCACTAGCGATAGCCTTAAAGGGTGGAGCCTATACTCATAGAATCTGGGGTTACAATACGTAACCAATGTTTTTGTTCTCATGCAGTAATAGTTAGCAATGATTTCTTTAGCGATGCTAAGGGCTACATTTTAGACACCCTTTTGCTACACCAGCTTCTAGCTAGCCTGTTGTTACGTTTAGTCTTTAACTAGCATTTTACTAATTCTCTCATTTACATAGAATTTTACTATTTGAAGTTTCTACCGAGCTTTATATTTATATTTTATTTTAGGTTATAGCTAGGGCTGTGTATTGGCAAGAATTTGGCGATACGATACATATCATGACAGAGGGGTCACGATACAATATATCCC